AATCTTTTTCCACCAAAACAAATAGCTTAGAGCATATTGTAACCTTATACTCCCTCCGTTTCAAATAAAAGTCTCATTTCATTAACCTTTGACCCTCATTTCTCACTTACCTATTTTATTTATTTATTTATTATTTCTTATTTTTAATCAACTAAAAAGCATTATTTTTTTCATAGGGAAATTGTACACAATAATCCTCAAGTATTCACTTTTTCACGCTGTGCCCCCTTCTTTTAAAAGTCCATTTATTGATTACGATGTAACCTTATCATTATCCCTCCATTGTATGTTGCCGGTAGTGGGGCCCACTTTACACCTATTTAATTTTTCTCTTGATTTTCGTGCTAAATAATGTTTCGTCAAAGGTTTCAGGGGTCATTATAGCCCTTAAAGTTCCAAATTGAGCTCAGATTTTGCAAAAAAAAAAAAAAAACGTAAAAGCCTTGTTTGTGAATTCTAATTAAACTACGGGAATCTGAATTCACAAAACGGGATTTTTATGTTATTTGTTTGCAAAATCTGAGCTCAATTCAGCTCTTCAAGAAATAAATGACCCTTGAACCTTTAACAGAACATTTTTTAGCACGAAAATCGAGGAAAAAATAAAAAAATAGGTGTAAGTGGGCTCCACTAACGGCAACAAGTAACGGAGGGGTAATGGTAAGGTTAATGTACTACCTCCGGTCCAAATTACTCACAACTTTGGAATATTTTATATCTCACAAATAATACCCCAAAGTTGAGAGTAATTTGGACCGGAGGTAGTATAACCAATAAATGGACCTTGACGTTACAGCGTAGAACTTTAAAAAGGAGGAGGCACAACGTGGAAACAAAAACTTTTGTATACACCCGGTTAACACTAATATTACTGTACATCGAGTAGTATAAGGGTAACTTTTACCTAATTTTAGGGTAACTTTTTGCCTATTTTTGGGTAACTTTAAACATAATACAATTTTTATATATATAAACAATAAGAAAAGTTTTATAATGGTAATTTAATTACATTCAATCAGTAATAATTGATTTTTAGTCATTTAAAATGTGATTCTTTATTAATAATTTTTATTTGTATTGGATTACTTTTATGCATATTAAGGTAACTTTTATTTATTTTAAAGGTAACTTTTAATCAAATTAGTCTATCTTTATAGTGGATGTACAATAATTATTGTACACCCGATTTTTTTTAAAGTTTGTGAGTGAACACCCGAGTGTTATTGTGTAGAACTCCTCTTGTTATGTTTGAGTACCAACAAATGCAGTATTTAACCCTCTTTAAAATGTCTCAGTATAGTTGTATAGAGTGTAAACTCCGTGTACAAGAAAGTAGAGCACCCCCACCATCAAATAAAAAATAAATTGAAAAATACCCATCTAAGGCATTAGCAAGACACCAACAAGGGTCAGTCGTCGTTGTTTGTATTAAAATAAAAAAGCAGTCGTACGTCATTAGTTGGTCTGAATTCCAAAATAATTAGATATCTAAAAATAGCAACCTAGGAAATGCCACACGTCGGTGATCTATTAGCTAGACAACCCTTTTACTTCCAGTAGCCAATGGCATGAAATAGAAATTGATTCTTATAGGTGATTGAGCACAAACACCCAAAAATAAGTGTTTTTTGTCCCCCTTTTAATTTCCATTTACGTATACAAACTAAATACTTTCCTTTTATAGTTACTAACCACGATTTGAAATCAAAATCAAGCTCAAAGGAAAGGGAAATCAATTTCCAGATTATTGCAAACCTCAACAAGTACTACATATTACAACCAACTTGTATTTCTTCTTTCTTCTTTTGGCTGCCTTTTTACAAGTAAGCACAACTTGTATTTATTTTTTTGCCCCTTTTTTCTTTAGCACCCCAAAACTTCTTCAACTGTTCCAAAAATTCCAATCATTTTTCTTCCTTTTGTGGTAAGATTACATACTGAATTGAGTGAATTCTTCTTTCTATGTTTCACTTTTTTGCAATGTTTTCTTTCCCCAATTTGATCGAAACATTCCCCAACTCGAATTTCTTGTGATTTTTGACATTAGGTGGATTTTCGAGCAATTGGTCAACAATATGGGAAGAGGGAAGATTGTAATTAGAAGGATCGACAATACAACAAGCAGGCAAGTAACATTTTCGAAGCGAAGGAAAGGATTGTTGAAGAAGTCAGAGGAATTGGGTGTACTTTGTGACGCTGAAGTTGGGGTCATAATTTTTTCCAGTACAGGGAAGCTCTATGAATATGCTAGCAACAGGTTAGTGGAAACCCCTAAAGCTATATTTGAGTATTTCCGTGTTATTGGGTCTTGCAATATTTCCTTTTCTAGATTCTATTGAACAGCTCTTTAAAACAATGAATTCTAGCGATAATCTCATATGCTTTTCCTCGGAGGAAAAAAAAAAAAAAAATTCTCATATGCTTGATTTAAAATAAGTTGTCTTGAATATAGATCATCTTAAAAACATTTATAATGACTTTAAGTTAATCTATCGATTTTATGTATAGATCGATGAGTTCGAAACAAATAAAACACCTTAGTATCCCCAAAAAACGTCAACAGTTAAGTCAATTTGAGTTAAATTACTCATATTTTATAACATAAAAAAGTTAAATTTCTCTCCTTAAGGGAATAAAAAGAAGCTAAATTAATAACTATATATCACTAATACTACCAATTTACCAAATTGTGAAGCAATAAACTCAAAGTTTAGCATTGAAAATGGAATATTGACAAGATTTAATAATGTGATACTATTAAGGATGTAGCAAGAAAATAGGAGTGCTTTCACAAGAATAACAAAAATGGATGTGTTCTATTCTTTCTTTCTTTAATTTTCGGTCATTAAAGAATAAAGCACAAGACGAAAGATCAATACAAATAACCACAAAGTAAAAGACGCGTAATAGAAAACTACTAATTGTGCTTAATGTGGGATTAGTACGATATTCCAGCATCCAACAGACAATTAATTGATAATTACGAAGAGATAAACTAGATTAGTACCACTAAATAGGAATAAGTACCATAGATGATGGATATCACTAGTATATCTCTGGCAATTGGTTACCTTATCTAGGTTAAGTACATTACCACACGCTCTCAACAATTACCACCCAAAAATAGATAAAAGATATGCGGTTCATATATCTCTTTTATTTAGCTTTCGATTTGATTTTATAGGGCCCAGACACTGTCACATCTTGGAAAAGATGCTATACTAATTCCTCAGGTGGTCATTAAAAGAGCTAAAATTAGTAAGATTCTTCTTCAGATTAGTTCTTGAGGAAAAATACTAGGCTTCAGACGTGAGGTTTGAACACTAAGTTCTATATTTGGAAAGCGTAGTTGGGTCAAGTTGTCTTTAAATATTAAGAAAAGGCTTTTTTTCCATCAAGCTAATCAGTTGACTAGGAAAGTAGTTGTTGATGCTATTACCTTTGCTAGCTCTTCCATTTTAATTAGTAATGTGCTGTTGTCATATTTATAACTTTTGTAATTCAGTTTAAACAAAATAAATACTTTCCTCCGTTCTGTTAATATTGCAACAAGGAGAAAATTACGCATTTCAAAACACATTTTATATGCTAAATATCTATTATTGTGTAAGAGTAAAAATTATAAAAACTTGATATTGTGAAAGTATTTTATAAGACGAATCCAATAATATCCCACTTGACTATATTTTGCTTAACGTATAACTCATATTATATGGTCAAACAAGAGTGATGAATAGTGCAAAAAGTCCATTGTTGAATATTAATAGAACGGAGGAATTAGAAAAAAACCCATTCGTTTCGCTTATGATAATTTTTTTTTTATATTCAATTACTACTTTTATAATTTAGATAAACTTTCTAATCTAACACAGTACGAATAGGATAAAGGTATTGTTCAATAATACATACAAACTAGTCAGTCGTATCAACTGGTTTGACTAACACGCGATATAAAACTAGTTTGTCTAATGGGTTGAAATGAGCTAGTTATGTAAAAGTGTTGGGTAAAGAACAATTTATTATTAATTTAATGCATTCAATAAGCTAATTTCAAATGACAACTCATAAAAGAGTATAATAATGTCAAAAAAATACAACCTTTAAATAGAAAAATACATTGTATTTTGATTTACCCAAAAGGAAATGAGGCTTTGTATTAAGGGACGGAGGGAGTAACATACATAACATTTATTCAAAAGATTTAAGGATGATAATAATAGAGTCGACCAATTTTCGGTCAGGTCTTGGTATAAAATCTCATGCCCTAATCCGTCAAGCTTGTCGGGGCAAAGCAGGCTTTTAAAGGTTTTGAGTTGGGTGTTTAACTCATAATTTATTTTTAGGTTTGTCCAAGCCTACGCTTTTTGGGTCGGGTCATTGTTAATCACCTTTAGATCAAACCTAAAAACCAAATTTGTGTAACTGATAAAAATATACTCTCTCCGTTTCATAATTAGAAGCATGTTTTCCTTTTTTGGGTGTTTAAAATTAGAAGCCTATTTCTATTTATAGATAGTACTTTAGCATCAATTCCTAAGACTTTCTCTCTTCATCTCTTCAATACTTCTCAACCATTTTTTCTTTCTCTCTATCTCTCTACCCGCACATACATATTTGTACTCCCAACCAACTTCCTTAATTCCTGTGAAAATGGGAAAATAAGCTTCTAACAATGAAATGGAGGGAGTACTACATTTGTCTCATATTATGTGTAACAAATGCCTCAAAACAAACTCCTCGGCAAACAATATTAAGGTATGACTAGTAAATTAAAGGGCACTTTGTAATTGATCAAGTTTAGGAGAGAAATGACGATGGCTAATCAATTAAGTGGCTCCAGGACTCCACCCCATCACCACCAACACCCTCCGCATACAAGCCAATATGCAGTAGCCACCAACACTCACAAGAGTCACAACCAAACACAATAGTAAGCGACAGCCACAAAACACCCATTCACACCACATCAAAATAACCTGACCCACCCACCCACCCACCCACCACGACGTTCCTGAGACCCACCTTTAGATTAAATACAATGGTTGCCTACAACTATTATGCTTATCACTTATTTTAACAATTTATCTGTTTTCTACCTCAGCTTTTAACCACTTTTATACCCACTTAAAAACCAACGTACCCCAATGGTCGACCATAGTTAGGAATGGCTACATATTGGACTAAGTTACATAACAAAATTTTGCTACAAAACAAGCAAAAAAATTGTCGCAATTTATAAAGCATTTGCTCATACTCTCGTATTTCGGACTTGGATTGAATCGAACTCCATCGAACTTTGCGTAGGGTCCAAGTCTGATCTGCCTCCTATTCGGATTCGGACTAATTTTAAACGAATTCGGATCGTAGACTTATTCAAATCAAATTCCGCCCTAGGTTTTAGCCTAAGGGAAGAAGCCCATACAAATTCGTTCATTGCAATTACCTATATCCCACCTTACCACCAAATGGACTATGGTATTCTATGCTCTTTTCACATGACAAAGCTTACAATCAATAAACAACTTAACTAGCAATCTAACGTCAACATAACCAGCCATATCAGAGTCTACAAAAAACATGATAGCCAAACCTTTAAACTGTATGGCTAGTTCACCTTTCCAACTAGCCACAAAACATTGCCCCTACCATCCCTCGCCACAACCCTTAAGTATCGTAGCTATTGTTCACGGTTCCCATAGGCGGGCAAACCAACGATCTTAGGAGACGTTATGACTCTCAACTAGAACACACCATAATAGGCGTGGACATTTGTTCTTGCAATACCATATAGACCAAGCCAATATGGTTCGTCACTCATTCCTATCTACTTTGCTTGCTACATAAGAGCTACGTCACTTGCATCCTATATATGTTTTGCATTTGCACAATGGAAGAGTACATGAGATTATAACTCAATTTCCACTTCGCATGAGCTGCACATTTACAAAGGCGCAATGTTACGTCCAGACAAATCCCATTGAAACACCAAGGCTTTTCTTACATGCTCTCCAAACAAAGGTAGAGAGCTTTGGGAGTTCGCTCGGCCCCAAACTAGCTTCCCCATTCTCATAACACTATCGTTTTGGCAAGCAATACCCATATACTCCCACCGCATCTTCCCCAACAAGTAAGTTGACTTCCACTAAATCACCATTTGAAAAGGGCCACCAGAAACACGTCTTTCGAATTTGCAGTAGCTAGAGGTAATTGCAAATCAAAGAGCTCACACCGCTAGTAATTATACATATATTTTCGACATGACTCGTTCACCACATTTATTATTAATCAAGGCAGCCACTCAAATCTTGGGCTTAAAAAGTGAATGTTGCATGCGGGAATTGCATGATTTGGAATACCAAGGATCCACCCATCAGTCAAAACCTTAATATCCTCACCAGTACCCACTTTCTATTTTAGCCACTCAAACATAAAAGATTTCGAGCCCCTTATACTCCTTGAAGAGTAGCTCGTATCATATCCTCTAGGTTCGTAAAAAACCAAACCATTTTTGAAGTAACAAGCCTTCATACAATAAATTAGTGAATCTTGGTTTGTGTTTAGGCACAAGACTTGGTTAGCCAAAAGTGCATGATTTAAGATATTGAGATCCCATGCCAACCATCACCTTTCGATTACATAGTGCATACCGACTGAGCCGGTGCATCTTAATATTTATTCCACCTCTATATTACGCTTCCCACCTTTCCCAATACCTAATGGAAAGGGAAAATCTATTATTGGACCTAGGGGTGCTAATCGAGCAATGTTCGTTTAAGTTAATTCAAACTCGAGCCGAGCTCGAATTTTTACGACTCTGATTATCTCTACCCTCGGTAGCTTACGAGTTTACGTCCATCCCTGAACTTTGACCGAGCATCGATCGAGCCAAACTCGAATTGTTCAAACAAAAAACCTTTGGCTAATGATTATCATTAGTTTTTTTACTTTTCTTTAATTTTCGTGATTAAAATTTTAATTTCACAATGAGTTTATTTTTTGGAAATTTTACATTAAACCACCTTTTATAAACTTTTTTTTTTGCAAGAAACCACCTTATAAATTTTTTTTTCGCAAAATCAAACCTTAATCCTAAAACTTTTTGCAAGCCCACACCTTTTCCCGAAAAATACTCTTTGACCTTGTTTTCAGGGGTTGACCCGACTGCGTGCCCATCACATGCCCCCCTAAAACCACTAATCCTCCCTCTCTCTTCTAATTTTACCCAATTTTTCCCTCCTACACCAATTACCCTCTTTTTTCCCTCTCTTTCTCTCTCCTTCTTCACTGTTCTTTCCCCCCTCAAATTAAAAGCGATTTTTTCTTCTCCTCATTAACTCTCTGCTGCTCTGCCATGGGTGCCAAGAATTGAATGCTTCTAATTTGAGTTAAATTGCTGCCCTTAGTTGAAAGTAAGTTCTCAATTTCTCTCTCCTTTTTTATTGCATGTTGCGTTTGTACTCTGTGTTAATTGGTTGTCTGTGCTTTCTGCCATGGGTAAAAAAAGGATCTTTGCTGCGTCGTCATCATCAAGAAAGCGTGGTGTGGCCCCTGAAATCCATGCTGCAAAGAAATTGAAAAACAAACCCCAATTAAAAATCCTAATGTTCAAACAAAGCCCTAATTTCCGCAATTGAAAGCAAATACAAGCAATTAAATGTAAATTACCTGGCCCAATTGATGTTCCTTGGGGAATTTGCTGGGAAATTTGGGCAACAATGTCCTCAATTTTGGGCAAGTTCGAAGAACAGGAACAAAGTTATGAGAGGAGAGAGAAACAGTTAGAAAGAGAGAGAAATTAGAGTGATATGAGGGAAAAGGGAGGATTAGTGGTTTTAGGGGGGCACGTGATGAGCACGTGGTCGGGTCAACCCCTGAAAACAAGGTCAAAGGGTATTTTCCGGGAAAAGGTGTGGGCTTGCAAAAACTTTTAGGTTTCTTGCAAAAAAAAAAGGGTTATAAAAGGTGGTTTAATGTAAAATTTCCTTATTTTTTATAATTAAAATACTAACTTCAAATAGTGTGATTTCTATGATCAATATATTTATGTTTATAAGCATAACTTTTTTTATATAGAAAAGAATAATCCAGCTTATGCACAAACTATTTGAGCCTTGATTGGCATAACTCAACTCGTCTCGTTAAGGTCTCGAGCCGAACTCAAATATGAGCCAAGCAGCTATGAATCGAGCTTTGACCGAACTTTGATCGAATCGAGATCGAACTGTCCACAAACAATTTAGTACCAGAGTTCGCCATGCATAGGTCACAAAACTCTTATCATGTCTCCCATTCAAAGGTCTAATCCACACCAACATATATACATAACTATGAGACATATCATGTTTATTTCATTTTGACAAGTTGGCCAAGTATAGCCCAAATCTCATGTTATGCCTCCCATTACAAGGGGCTGACTAAGAGTGATGTTACATACTTACATATGTGCAAGCACACATGCTTGAAATACCTTCCATGGTCTAAACCATCTAAATTGATCCAAAAATTGGCCTAACCAAAACCATAACCAATTCGAACATTCTTGGGACTTGTTATTTGTTTGGCATAGATTTTTTTTTTTTAAAAAAAAAAATTTAACCCACCTTATACATTCATCTCAATGTATGATTTCAAAACATTAAATTTCTTTTAATTTAAACTTACAAAAGAACAGATGATTGTAAATAATCTCACAAGGACAGCTTAAAACTTATTGATAGAGTAGCCACTAGTTGATGAAATGCAACAAATTCACCCATTTTCATTGTGTTTAAAAACTAAAATAATCATTCACAACTATTCATATTTAGAAGGGCAAAATCCCAACATGAGTAAAAAAATATGTTACTCAAAGGGGTTCTATTATCTTTTCAATACTACCATTCAACTTTTCCTTACTCTTCTTCTACCTTAAGCACTCGACCATGGCACTACACGCCGACCACTTTTTCACCACCACAACCACCATTTCTCTTGCCAAACACCTCACAACACCACCGCCATCATCACTTCTTTGCCCATCTTCGAAAATCCAACTCAATTGAAGGAGTTGGTCACCTCTTCCCTTTGGGGTTGAGCATGCACTTAACTTCACCTTTCATTCCTAGGGTTTTCGCTTTTTTCAAATGTGACTGAAGATTGGGGGAGATGGGTGGATATCTGGGAAGGTGGAAATGAGGAAGCGTGACTTTTGTTTCGCCGCGACGTTCAAGGCTTGGAAAGGACGAAGAAGAGGAGGACAACATGGGAAAGATGATCAAAGGTGGGCAGGGAAGAAGAAGATTGGCTTAAGAGATGGTGGTTGTGATGATGAGAAGGAAGGAGGAAGAAGCAATTATTACAATTGTGTCATTTGAGTAATACAAATGTTATTACTCAAAATGAGTAAATGGGGCTAGCCCACTTGAAAGATATGTTCTTAAGTGCACACACTAGTGCAACCTATTGTAGATGGTTATATATTTATGTCACCATTCGCTATCTTAGATATAATTTATGTCATTGCATTCACCCTTGGTCAAAATAAATACAAAGAAATTGAGGAAGAAAAACATCAATTCCTAAGTTAAAAATAGAAGACCAAGAACATAAGAAACCCATTGCTGAATCAACAACTCCTCATTCTTGCACTTTGCCTATACTTAGACCACGACACCACCTCCCTCATCTATAAACTTGAACTCCCAAAGCCTGATTATGAATATTGCAACTCCAAGTCAAACTCCTTGTCAACACCTTTCGTGCAAAATACATAAAAGACCAAAACATTTGAATCATAATTCTGAAAATTAAGTCCTGCGTGTGTAGCAAACCCTTGGTCCTAAGCTTGATGTAAAAAATAGGGGGATTTATGCCTAACTTACACTAATAAGTAGTGTTATTACCTTCATTCAAGGGTCTCAATTAATGCATAAAGTCACTTGTTAACAATGCTAGTAGATGGAATTTGGGAATGACATTAATTTAAGATATTATATAAAAAGGCGCTAGACGATTAGGTAAAGTACTTCTTGCTCTATGCAAAGGCAGAGACAAGCCTAAGAAGCAAGAGGCACACAAGGTACGCCAAGGCACAGATAAGCAAATTAGGTTGTGCACCTCACTTCAAAGAGGCGCGCTTTAAGTAGGCCTTGCCGGACCTTCATCACTTCAACGCACTACAACTTTTTATACATTGTTAATCACTTGTGGGTGGACTTGAGCTAAATTCATAAATTTGGAATTTGTTTTTTTTTTTTCTTTTTTACATACTTATATATTCTTGACATTAACTTTATTTGGATACAAAGAAATGGAGGGATGGGAAGAGAAGAGAAAAGAAAGAATTCGTCATCCTTTATTTGGATATCTAATACAAGGAGGGAATTTGAGGATTAATTCTCCTTCCCCTTTAAATAAACCAAATCTCTCCAACTAAGTTCACCTTTTCCCTCCTCTCATCTCCCCTTCCACTTCCTCTTTTTCCTTCCCTTTCTTTTTCCTTCACTATTGTTATCCAAACATAGTGTAAAGCTCACATATTATTGTTATGAGTTCATAAGAAGATACTCTAATACTTTCCTTTACGTCCATTATCAAGTTGCACTATAAAAGTATTATCGACTTCTAAGGAATGAATGTTAAGGGTAATATTACGAAAGTTTTACTAATATTAACCCTCTAACAATTTGTTTGGATTGAAGGAAATGGAGGGATTAATTATCTCTCATTTGGATAACAAATGAGGGAAGAAGAGAATTAGAGGAGAGAAATGAAGGGACTAGAATTGAAGAAATTGATCTCTTCAACAATAGAGAGATTTGGGAAAAAAAAAAAAACTCATCATTCTTCCATTCCCTTCTCTTTCTCTATCCAAACACCCACTTTAACTACATATAATGAGGAGAAGAGTGGTTCTTCACCACCTTCTACTGAAAATAGTTATCTCCGGCTATAATTATATAGTGAGCTTCCAAGTAGAAAATGACAAGAAAAGGTGAGATGTATCCTTGTCTATGATCATGTACAAGTTTGGGCTAAAAACTTCTCCACCATGACTACACCACAAAATTACATAAATCAACTAACATCATTGCCAACCGCCCGACTCCTAAAATTACCATAGAATTGCCATCACCTCCAATAAAGTAACAAACCTAACCTACAATCCTCGTAAATGTAATCAAAGCATCACTCCACTTATCCACCACTATCACAAATTTCACCACCACCATCTCATTATACAATCACAAACTGCAAATCCCAGTACTCTTTAGATATCTAGATTAATTGAGATTTTTGGATGCTTAACCACCAAAACATTTAAGTGGATGAATGAAGAAGATTCATTGTTTTATGACAAGCTGACAAAGTTAAGGATGGAATAACTAACATAAAATGCATCTTAGCATTACATTCATTAGGGTGCAAGAGCCAAATACCACTGCTAGTTAGGAGAACATAAAAACACACCTAAGATGCCAAGCATATTAAGATTGTCTAGAGTTGGCCGAGAACTGCAATCACCGATAACTGTGAGAAACAATAACCAATAAATCTTGAACCACTAAACTTGTGTACTTGGATGAAACACCAACTCAATTAAAATAGTTAAAAAACATTTTTGTTTTATGGATGTTAACAATAACCACACATTATTATTAGAAAATACATTAGTAAGATTTTTGTTTTATGGATGTAATTCAAAAGTAAGACTTTTGTTGAGACTAAATAATAGATGGGTAAACCAGAAAGGTGTGTTGCATTTAAAAGAACACATGGAAAATATAATCTATCCTTATATCCTATTCTGTTTAAGACAATTAATAGACTATGAAGTATGAACTGCAATACTATGGTCTTGGTCTTTCAATAATCCATGAATAAAAAAGAACACGCATCTTACAAGCATTATTCTTTTTCAACCCACCTTGTGTGGTTGGCCACACCGTGTGGCCACTTACCCACTCATAATATAATAAACTAACCCTTATAACACTAACAAAGTAACCTTATAATACTAATCAAGTAATTTAACCCTTATAACACTAACCAAGTAATCCCTATAACAATAATGAAGTAACCCCATAATGATTGGTCACCAGTCATATATAAGAATTTGTGAGTGTGCAGAGATATGGAGCCTTGTTAGATCTAATTCTTATTGATAATCGAGTAAATTTATCTCTTACGTAGATAAACTTTTAAATTCTTTATCTTTTTGATAGTTCTCTTTGCAAGATTTGGTAAAGGAGAATAAGCTACTCTTTACCTTGGTAACTAGGAGCATACAAGAGTGCTCACAAATCCAACAAAATGCAATACTTGTTATTTGTGCTATGTACAGTATAAATAAAAAATGCAATACTTGTTTCAGTGTTGAATTTTGGATTCAAATATAAATATTGCTGATGCTTGATATTTATTTTGCCAGCATGACATCCATAATTGACCGCTATAATAAGGCGAAAGAGGAGGAAAATCAACTGGTGAATCCAAATTGTGAGCTAAAGGTACGATTGAGTTCTTATTTTGAATGTATAATACTATAATTGCTACCAGAATATCTTCCAAGACAAATATAAATGAAAACAGGAAAATCTTCTTTTTGTTTGGAATTTAACAGAAAATCATTTTCACAGGCAAATTTTTGCTCTTAATGGATGATAAAAACTGAGGAATGGTTAAAACTTTCAGTATCAGAGATTTGCAAGACGCTAGTCCGAGTGCAATATTATATTTCAAGACTATAAATAAAAGTTTCAAGCAAGATTAACTAAGAAATCATATAATATAATTGTCATAACAAAATGCAATGGTAAGTAATAAGAATTCTCTATAAAGTAGAAAAGCAGAAGCAATAAAAACATAAAACAATAACCACCACCAGAAGATTAAATTAGCAACTACTTAAAAATGGGAATTTGAAAGGTCAGGACTCAGGATAACACAATCTCACCTCTAATAATCAGACAGGGTTATTTACAAACTACTTCAGGTGATTAGCTAAAAACAATTTAAAACTATGATAGGAACTGACATAGCTTACAGCACCAACAATGGCAGCAATATAAGAAGAAAATGATTTTTACATTGATAAGATGAGAATTACAGTAAATCGAATGATGATTCCACTTTTAAGAGGTGGATTCTCTCCTAATTTGAGCTTGTGAAAGGCTCACTCTCTCCCAATAACAAACCACACAATATTCAACATGTCTACTTTCCTCCTCATGAGACCTATTTTATAGAAAATCCCTACTAACAAACCTCTAGCTTATTCTCCAAGTTACTACTACTCCCTCCGTCCCCGAAAGAACGACCCATTTGGCCTAATTTTAGTCCCAAAAAGAATGACCCATTTGTTTTTCCCAACATCTATTAAAATCACAAAATTACCAATATATCCTCAAATATTTTTGTCATATAGATCCTTCTCCCTATTTTACCCATGTATTTTTTCAGATCTTTGTGTCATCTCCTCTCTAAATTTCTAAACTTTTTTTCTCTCTCCTGCCACCATTAATTTTTCTTGTGTTTTCCCATACATTTGTACTTGCAAATTAAGTTTCTTAACACCCGCGAAATCAACCCAAATGGGTCGTTTTTTCGGGGACGGAGGGAGTAATAGATTATGACTAACATAATGACTAACATACCCTTCCCCTAATATTGATTCCTTGAAAACTATTGCAGTAACATTGTAACAGCACCAAATACAGGTAAATAGAAACAATGCAACATAGTTTATTGCCATTCTACACTGCTACCTAGCCAGCAATGGATGTAATAAAGCAATAACAACCTGCATCCAACTCCCTATTACTCTATAGTTATATTACCATAGCAGTCTAATGACCCAACTATTCAGAAAATTTTCCACGCCTTATGCTGAAAATAGGACACCATGAATGGTTTGACACATTACTACGTAATCCTGATATATGATCTAAAATGAGCAACTTTTATCAAAATGTTTTTTATTCCACAGGACAAGTTGCTCAAAACGAAAGATTCGTGATTCTTCTCGGGGCCCATCAAGGGATGTAATTAGAGATCAAACAAGGGATAACAACCAATATTTAAGCAACGTAAAACGGTGCATGGACCACACTTGACTCAATAGGAGCAAAGTATGTTTCAAGTAAGCAAACCTGAGCCTAGGCATGGATTAAGACACAGGAATAGTACCATAACCGAATAATAGTATATGGTTGAATTATGGTTTGATTTCAACCAATCATGTCAACTATTGCTAAGCCTTCTTACATTCAATGAAGAGGTATGATAAAACCTTACAAGGATCTTTTAACACAAATTACAACTATATCATATTGGTTGTTCTAGAGGACTCTTGAAAATTCTCAAGTACAAATTTTACCACTTTTTCTATATAGAGAGGCATATAAAGCATACATAATCAAAATGCAACAAAAGAACTAGTTCTGAAATTCTCCCAAGATCAAACAAATATTAGCCAAGAAATAAATTTAACAGATCTCCAAAATCATATAGCCCTTATAAGCCTTTATCGTCCTTGCACAATAGGAAGTTGCGGAAGTTATTCTAGCCCACAAATAGATTTATTCCCAAAGATATGGGGTCAGCAACATGAACCAAGAGTCTATCTCATATGATCAACCCAAACAACATCCTTCTCCAATCTTTTCTTTCTACAGCTACATGACCTACATCACCGAATAAGCCCCTTTCTCCATGCCCATTTTAAATCCCATCCATCAAACACATCTTTGGTTTTCCTCAACCTAACTTTAGATCTCTTTTATTCCAACCCTTCACCTTCATTACCACTGTATCTTTCAGTCAACATCTCAAATTCCCAAACCATTGTAATCGACTCTCCCTTATCATATCTATACTATTCCTTCGAATACCTACATACTTTACTCCCTCACCAAGTTCCCACACATCCATCATATAATACACATTTTTTTTTATTAAGGTGCTACTTCTAAATGCTTAACAAAGTAACAAACCATATAAGATGGTGCGCGGAAAAAGGGAGTTCTAGAAGATACATTTCAGCCAAATGCACCACAAAATTACCATAAAAGCATTGTTCCATAGGAATAACTCATTGGCCCCCAAAAGCCTACAAAGCACATCATAAATGCCACTCCCAAAAAGTAACAAACATTAGACTCCTCATACATCACAAACTTATTCCTCTTAAGCATCATGACATGTCAGGTAACAACAAAGAAAGGTAAGACATCATGATTTGAATTGAATTCACATACCAAACAAATAATGACATATAGCCAAACCCAATCTTGTTTATGGAACATATCATCAATAAATGTCTTTTATAAACTTATTATTTAATTTTACCTTACAAACAAAAATTATAACTAGGGGCTTACCTGTACCAACACTTGGTACACTAAAGACAGCATATTAACTTCATCAACCCTAAACTCTTGAATCAAAGACACCACCATTATTAGTGTAATACACTTATTTGATTTTAATTTTCTTCGATATCACATGAAGATTATTTATAATTTCATAGTTTTAAAAAGAGATTAAAAAAAAAAAAAATTGATTTTCACAAAAGATAAAAAAACTGATTTGTATGATAACAAAAATTTTGGTTTAAAATATAAAATCTAAAATATCTAGAGATCAACCCTATTATTGACTCTCTGAAATTTCTAGATTATCAAACCCTATTATTGACTTTGAGGTGTAAATACCTCTTTATGCCTCAATTATACAACCCCCTTTTATTCATTTCTTTTGGTCTTCTTAACTTCCTTGTTATACTTGTAATTTTGTTTTGCTTCCATCATTAGCATTTCAAGGCAGTCTAAAGTAAGGGATCCATTTCCCTAGTAGGAGTACTTTGTGTATTTGTTTTCCCATTGATTAATACAACATTGTACTTTTTTTTTAACAGTTTTGACTTTTGATCACGATCCTCTCTTCCGAAGAGTGTATAAGAGTATGTGTTCGACTAAAAAAAAAGGACATAAATACTCTTATGTTTTGACGAAAACATACTCTTATACACTATTCGGGAGAGAGAACTATTCTCATAAGTTAAAAAAAATACAATGATATATTCATCAGTGGGAAATCAAGAACATATTGTACTCCTACAATGGGAATAGATCATTACAGTAGAGTACCTCAAAAAACTTCATGATGGAAGCAAAACAAAACTATAACATTGAAGAGAAAATGAAGACCAAATGATTGTAAAAAGGGGTCATATAATTGCGCAGATGGAGGTATTTAAAACTATTTTAAATTTCAAATAAATAATTTATACAATTATGAATATCACTTTGGTATCTTTAATGAATATCAATTATCTTTTTTTCCAAAATAAAATAAAATAAGTAAATAATCATTTTTATCAAAATCAAATCAATTTATAGAAATTGTTTATTATAAAATACTTGAAAATTTGAGGTATTGCAATTAGTGCCTCAACTTAGGAGGTAATCACCATCACAAAACACCTAGAACAATTGAGAAAAAAAACTGATGGGTGCAACATATCCATGCGTATTAGAAAAACATTGTTCTTGCATATAGAGACTAGCCATCCAGAAAGAAAATTTTTATAATTGTCCAACTTTTTTTGTTGGAGCTAATCAATAAAAAAAATGTATCTACAACAACAACAACAACGAAAAAAAAAAAAAAACTGGTTGACCGAGCCCCTATACCCAAGTGAGATCTTACCACTGTGATTATGTTCACCAAGCCCCATGATAAAAATAGTGAAAGACAACACATTTCGAATGAACTGGTTGGCAAAATCTCCTTTCTGTGATAACAAACATGAAGATGATATTAGTTCTATTAAAGGCATCTTAAAATAGCAGACCAGAGATGTAATCATCCTTCAAAACAGAAAGTGGATCTCACATCATTGCAACATCTATCAATGAAAATTGATTGCATCGGGCATACCTACCTATCTAAGACAACAGCTCCAAGAAATAACAAGCGTCTATTCAATCTCAGAATTAGTCAAACAACCAACCTGTAAAACATAAAACTCTTTATAACAGGATATTTGGTTGTACAGAAAACAAGCACAAAAACTTTAAAAACAAGAACAGAGCATGCAGCTTGAATCAATAATATACCAAGAATCATCACCAAAATAAATAAATAAATATTTTTTTTTTTAAAAAAAAAAATTCTGTTTTCATCACAAATTATTAATCTTAGGCACAGAAATCTCGAGGGAGAGTACATCACTGTGGAGACAACTGGAAATAGCTATGATTAGAATAACAAGGGACATGAGCAATGATTCCATCAAGGACTCCTATTGCTGATGTATGGAAAACATAGGAACAAAGGTAAAGAAGGCAAGTCACCATAATTCAAGCAAGTCCCTATAATGCAGGAAAGTCGCAATAATGATGTTAAGAGGAATATTGGATCACGAGAGTTTGTTAAAAATGACAGGGAAACTTGGGTACGTAATAAAAAGGGAGGAGAAGGATAAAGGGGGAATCATAAAAAAATATGTGATGCATATTCATTTCTTTTTTTCCCTCCTTTTTGTTCTTCTATTTTATTTTATTTTTTATAGAATCTAGGCCTCTCAAATGCTTAGACCATTTCAAATTTATAAATAAATTCCCCATCTGCTAATTCTTCAGCCACATTTCCTACTTTCTTTAATTCCTCTGTCTTGTAAAGTCAGATTATTAAGTGGGTAAACATTTGGGGGTGGAAGAAGCTTTGTGTTTGATCCATTGTAATACAAATCCAAAAAGTAACAGGAGAAATGCTCTTATCATATTATTGAAAAAGGTGTAATATGTAGGAGTAATAATTATCTTGTATATGCCAATTACATCAACATTTCTTACCATAATCTAATGCACAACTGTATTTTGTAGTTCTGGCAAAAAGAAGTGGCAATGCTCAGGCAGCAACTGCAGATCTTACAAGAAAGCCACCGGTATGATTTCTCTCTCGACATTGACATCTTGACTATTTGAACAAAAAAAAAATCCACCTCTATAACATAATCATGCTTTTATAGTTCAGTTCAACTTATTTCAACATATAAGTGCTCTTGTCTTCTAAACTTTTTATTCCGTATCCAATATACTTGCATCCAAAATAAATGATTTTTCTTGCAGTCAAAATTTATAAGAATAAGTTTTTAATTGAACTAATTGTTCAATAAAAAAAGACGTAACTTTAACTCCCTCTAGTCCATGATATTCTTCCAACTCGACCTCCTTATTTGGCAAATTATATCCTTTTCTACCCTACCTTGCCCAATTTATTGGACACACTTTAAAGACACATATGATCACAAGCACAAATAACAAGAATATTGTCATCCAGATAATTAAGAAATTGTCACTTGACCAATTAAAGCAATTAAGAAATTGCCATCAAGATAATCTGAACTTTGAACTACAAAACAGTCAAAATAGAGAAAGCCCAAAAAACTTTGTAACTATAGTTCACCGATAAGCGAAAACATAAGAGGTACTGCAGAAATGCAGTAACCTAGCACACTCACTTTCTCCCACAACTCAAGAAACATAAACAGCAAAGGTACCCCCAAAACGCTAAGACAAAGAATTCCCGAACCCTTGGTTCTTAGAAATTATATCAAATATAACAAGTTAAAGACTTCTTAATAGCGCCTCGAAGGGATGCTCTATGCTGTCTTTGTCCTTGCCCAAATGTCGGTATTTTAAGGAAAAAATATGATAAAATGAGCCAAGCAGTTAAGTAAAAGTTGGGTTTTTTTTTTTTTTGTTCCAATAGATAAGAAAGGATGTAGAGAAAGTTGATGGACAGATCTACACAATCATGACCACGGGACACGCTGCTTACTACAAAGTATGCCTCTAAGCAAGCACCTGAATACATTCGTTCAAAATGACAAGACACAACTTTGGATAAATTCAAGTTTGAGGTGATATGAAAAGTGCTCCAACCCTCTTAAAATAATTTAAAAAGTGAAGCAAGGTCAACCAAATAAAGCATATGTGTACCTTCATACTCTTCAAAATAAAGGAGCAAATCACTAATAACCAGAAATATAAGGAAGCATGACACATTTACCATTTGTTGATGTAGGAAAATTATGGGGGAAGAGCTCTCTGGTCTGACAATCAAAGATCTACAGAATCTTGAAAACCAACTCGAAATGAGTTTAAGAGGAGTCCGTAACAAAAAGGTACTAATGCAAGTTCCATACCTTATTATAAACTGTTCCTCAGTGTGAAGCAGGAGCTGACTCGTAGTCTTATCTTTTGCAGGATCAACTGTTGATAAACGACATACAAGAGCTAAATCAAAAGGTCAATGACATTTACTATGCAAATTTCTTGTTTTAATCATTTATTTCAATGAATGCACATCATAAATGACAAACAGCTAAAGCTCAGTAGCATTGTTACAGAGGGAGCTCATTCGCCAAGAAAATGTGGAGCTATACGAAAAGGCAAATACTATTCGTCAAGAAAATATAGAGCTGTACAGAAAGGTGATTATTTGATCCGCAAAATGCACAGATTTTTGAATCAAATTAATGTAATTGTGTCTACAGATGAAACAAAGACGCTATGAGATTCTTTTTCAGGTATATGGAAATGGAGATACAAGTGCAGCCAATGGTGCCATGCTCATTGATGGTGAAGACATGGAAGAGGATTCAAACGGACCTATCCATCTACAGCTTAGTCAACCACAGCAGCAAACCCATGCATCACCAGGGGCTATCAAGTTGGGGTACGTGACCTATAAACTACAGTGCTAATTCCTCTAACAGAAAGTTTGATCCATAATTCTTTTGTTCTTTTTATTTTGCTGCAGCAGACTACAACTGTACTAGACAAGATGGCTTAGTTGGAAATACACTCCTGGTCACAATTCCCAAGGTCTTAATGTTCTGCTCTTATTACTAGATAGTGGCATAGAACCACAGACAATCAATAACACAATTGAACGGTTATGAAGAAAGAGAAGTTTGCATCTGTTGGAAAGAAATTCTAGACAAAAAGAAACCAACCAAAAAAAGCATTAAAAAAAGTCTATTGTTTCATCATCATGTCATGTAATAAAGAGAGAACAAATAAGACAATGTGTTTTATATTTGAGTGTTCTGTTAATATCTTCAGATCTCTTGTGCCAGAAATTCAAAACAAAGAAAATACAGCTTTATGGGATTGCACAGTGTTCCCATACTCCCTAAAGCCTTATTTCGTTATATAATTATTTTAGCATCAGTGAGAGAGTGCGGCAAATAATGTAGCATACACCACACATAAAAGAAATCAGATTCCACATCATCATAGGGCCAAACATTATAATATACATGCATTGAATAGGTACATCCATAGACACGGTATAGATGACAGCATGATGACTAAAAGAACAAAATATAGAAATTAAAATATTTATATATATATATGCGGAGTTAAAACTGTGAAAGCATGAAGAAATTAATGCAAAAGACACAGGATCGAGCATAATCATATTCCCAAGATGATTCCTGTGTCAATGATTTCATGTAAGATGGATTGGGTTAAGCAGTCATACAAGAACAGGAATGTCAGAAATGAGCAAAATGTAATTCATTGCTAGCACAATGAAAACAAGGTATACTACAACAAAATTCATGAGGAACCAAAACAGTAGAAACAAAAACAATGGATTCTACTACTTTTATGTGAATACAAAATGAGAAAACTACAATAAAAAAATAAAATGCGCAAATTGAAGGCTCTCAGCACAGTCAATGCTTCACTGCAACTTGGCAGTATGGGGTAACTAGATCAGAAAGAAAGATCTACAACTTTCATACTAATAGATATTGTCTATGTGTTTCAAGAGACTTGTATAAATCACTAACATAAATGTCAAATTTATAGGTACATGGTCTATCAGCTCAAATGTGCACTGAACAGACAGACTATGGATGAAGATAGACACAGACTGGTCCTGAAATTAATAAAGAAACTGCAAGAAAGAAGTCATTGTTGCATAAGAGGTAAGACAGTGTGGCAATACTGAGATTTGTATCTAGAATGTTGATAAGTTGTCAGGAAGAGAACTAATATTTAGAATAGTCTACATTTTCAATACTGTCTATGTCAAGTAATTATTGTACAAACTTTCCTAAGATATGAACCAAGCGAGATAATCTCACTGAAGTTGTATTCAATCTTCTGTTCTCTTTTTGTTTCAATTGTCCCTATTATTACATTCTTTATAATTTCTCCTCTTTCAAAACCTTTATTTTAATCCCTACATCACATAATAAAAGCCCATATTTATATTTTCACGGAAATATTCTTAGAATGATATCTAATAGAATAAAATTCTAGTAATATGTACCATAATCCCCTTTTAAAAAAAAAAAAAAAAAAATAAACTAAACATGGATTCAATGAATGTTTGGGTATAGGAAAATTTTATAAGGGGAAGGTTAAAAAGTAAATAATGGCACAAATATTTGGAGAAATGTTGGGTATTTTATATGGGGGAAGGTAAGGCCTTGTTCACTTCACCTACACAAAAAATTATTCAGCAAAAATGATTTCAGTTAAGTAAAAATAAGTTTTAGTAAAAAAAAAAATAGGATTTCAAGAAAAATAATTTCAGTTCAGTAAAAATCTGTAACTTTAAAGAAGAAATATAATAGAGAGCTAGTATAAATAATTTTAGTTAAGTAAAGTAAATTTCAGTTTAATAAAAACAATTTCAGTTCAGGACAAATAATTAATGTTTAGCAAAATAATAGCAATTCCATAAAAATAATTTCAATTTAGCAAAAATAAGGTGAAGTAAATGGGGCCCAAGTAGGTAAACAAGAGTATATGTATTCTTCTAGCTAGCCATTTTAATTTTTTTTATTACTTTTTTTTAATTATTCACCCTTCCTCCCTCTCCTCTCCACTTTTGTCCATGGGCAACCACATATCTCCATTCCTCCCAAACCCATGATGCTTAAGCCCTACCATATACGTCACCTTAAGACCACCACTTATCATATAACCATCCAAACATTCAACTCAAAAATCCTTTAAAATTCACCATGATTTTAATTACCATATAGCAACAACCTTTCACTATGAACTACACATATAGGAAATTTAAATGATGACGGAATTATCCAGCAAACAAAATGAGCTAGATTTTTTTTTTTTTTTTTTTCAAGTATTAATTATGTTTTACAGAAGCCACGTAGCGGTAGCCAAATAACTTGCTCAAGAGAAATTAAATCATTATTACAACCAAAATCAAATTAAAACTCAGTAAACATCCTTTGTGTGTACAATTTAAGAATAAAAAACAATTCGAACAAAAAGACCATGATAAGAGTAAAATAGAGTGAAATTTGGGGTACAATAAAGAAAATCTAATTAGAGAAAAAAAATAAAATATTGGGTTGGAAAGATGAATCAAATGGGGGCTGGAAGAGTTAGTGGTTATGGTAAAGATGTCCTGGCCATTTGCCAATGACTTATTAGGTAATACAATTAACAAACGGGGTAGTGGAGAGATGGGAGATAAAGCATTTAAAATTGAAGGAAAAACAAATTTTACCAGTTGTAAAAGTCACCGGAGGTACACTAATCTAAGAAAGTTCCCAATAGTTGGGATCAAAATGAGAACATGAGAAACAATTACAATTAATTGTTCCTTATGTGTCATACTCAACTTTATTAATGGAGTGCCGTTTAAAACTAATAATACCTAATGACTCATTTATGATAGCACTCAAAACTGTAAAAAAAAAATATATCAAATTACTCTTACACAGGTGCACCACTTCAATGTTTTCATTAGATGGCCTCAATATTCTTCCTTTCAAGGGCCCTTCTAACTCCTCTTTTTTGTCACCTTTGAACAATTATCCCACTATCACTACCTTGCCTGAAACACTGTAATTTTGTGGTCTGATATGCCAGCAGCAGCAGCCCAAAAAAAGCACTCAAGTTCTATTGCTTCCAGAACAAGCCAGAATGGGAGCCATCAGTAACACAAAATCCGTTGCATTCCCCAAAAAAAAAAAAATCTAAAGTTAGACTTGTAACTTCGTTGTAAGAGAACTCATTTGTCTAGCATAATCCATCAGTCTAAACATTCAACAACCTCAAAATAAATTCAAACTCTCCCATGCTTTGTTCACCGGCCATATGAAGCTTTTCACAGAACATAAACATTGATGAGATCCAATCCGGACCTTCGGCATGCTTCTAAAGTGACTTCTCCCAAACTACAAACCAGTGCCATCATCATTCGTCGCATTTTTGTAGTTTCAATTGTTACAAATTAAAATTTATCTTCTAACACTTCAAAAACCCAATAACTAATATAAAAAACCATGCCTAGTTGTGCCACAAGTAGAGTAAAATGGCTACTATACAATTCTTGAAGGCTCGCTATACTATACTTAGGTTCTTTCTCATTAATTATCATTAGCCTTGAAATAATTTAGGTGCACACTTGTTCTACGTAAGAAATTCTTTAAGTTTGGAGATAATTAGATAAAGGTTGGCTTCTTGAAGCGTGGAATTCTGTTGGTCACTAGGAAATACATTGGAAAGGAAAAACAACTTCAGTTAATTAATTTACGCACCAGTTAGCATAATGCACATCATACTCCCTGATATAGATTAAAACAGTTAAGATACTTTTTTAAAAGTGTATTTAAAAGTTACTATCAACAAATTATATTTAATGTATTAAAAATAGAGAAGAACCACTATGAAATTACTGAATATTATGTTGAAAAAAAAGAAGAAAGTCTTTGTAGCAGACAAATCAACATAATTATACTTTTGTATAGCTTGGAAAAAAAAACATATATAAATTGGACACCTATATCATTCAGGTTAAATTTGTTATAGTCAACTAATTTCCAATGTATCACAAAAATTACAATTTTCAATTAATAACCATTTAAATAAAATTGACAATATGCTCAAAAACCATGAACAAGGAACATAATGCACATCACATTTCCGGTTTCACAAAACAATGATTGTGTAGCTCCCCACATCAAGGTCTCTAGTTATTTTTTATTTTATATACTAATGTAACTGGAGTCAAGTAGGCTATGGAAAGCAATTAGCTTTTCCATATTCCTTTTATAAAACATCTTTAGATTTATCAAAAGGGAAAAAAAAAAATATATATATATATATACAAAGCAAAAAAAAATAGTACAAAGAGTCACTCAAACCTATTGTCAATTCTAAGGAAAAATAATCAGCTGGAAAGGTACTTAGTCTAAGTTTATTGCATAAATTAGGCCACATCGAACCAAAAAATTTGTTAGTAATCTCTTTTTCTATATGCTCTATTATCCTTCCTTTTACCCAATGTTAAAAAATATTTCATTCAGAACTCTTCTTAAGCACTAAGACCATGTGAAGGCAAAAGAATATGTTAGGGTTGCTCAACAAATGCATAGATTGTCATTATTATAGAGCCCTCCCATAAACCTTGTTTATGGAGAAGCATTATCCTTCTTTGAAACCTTAGAGGTCCAAAAACTCCAAATAATACTAGAAATATTAAACAAAAAAAAAAAAGACAACTTAATGAGCTATTTTTATTTTTATTTTGTTTTTTTTTTAAAAAGACGTTGAAGAATATGCTGTTCATATTTTCATTCCAAAAAAACTTAAAAATGGCATCTCTCAACTTCATAAATTAAGGCAAAAGTTCATAATTATGCACGATGCATATAGGACCAAGTATTAATCTACAAATACACATCCATATCAATGGGGCTAAGACTACGCACATCAAATTCCCTCCATTCCTCTATGCTGAAGAAACGCTTTAGAGCAATGCTTAGGTAGAAATATGAATCAAAAAAAAAAAAAAGAAGCCTGAAGCAATCCAGGCATATATGTAAATATGGGACATCCTGAAAAGTGTTAGGTGATTATTTTCTATTGGGATAAATTACATAAATATACTTTAGAAAAAATCACGATAAAAAACCTATAATGAACCACTTTCAACAATCAACTACCCTGTAAGGAAATAAAATAGCTACCTCTTAAGAAAATGTAATATATAAACACAACCAGAGGACGATTATCATGAGCTCCAACCATTAAGTACAGCCACAAAAACCAGTCTGTCTCTTTTATACCCTTGGATCTATGATAATTGACCTCCAATTGTAAGTCATTCAAAATGTCTGAAACTAAATCACCCCATCAAATTGTAGTTTATTTCAACAAATTGTCTTGAAAGGTACTCCCTCCGTCCCTAAATTAAAAGCCTCTTTCTATGTGAGTAATAAATGCTAGATAGAGGCTTTGTATTATGGGACGGAGGGAGTAGTTAATTTAAATAGCTGGAAAGACAAAATTATCCAAAGAGAAGGTGAGAGTCTTCATCTTACCTGAACAACTGGTGATCCTCTGTACAACGGTAAGAATATTCGAACCTTCTATTTTGGACAAAAATCATAAATAATTTTCACAAAATAGTGGAGTCGAAAAATTGGACACGTACCAAAAGCAACATAGAAGAAACCATGGGTGTGTCACACATCATTAAAAGATGGGCAAGAATAAAAATTATCATACGAGTAGAAAGGTATAAAGACGGGGAAGATAACAAAAGAAGATATTTGTTCAATGTATCATCCTCCCAAAAGAAAACCTTATTCCCAACCTATATACGGCAACAAATGACCATAGCAACGCACATAATACTAAAGATTTGGTAGCAGACAAAAGAAGATCACAGCAAAATGAGTGTCATATACAAAAAATCCATGTATTGAGGCATCTTTGACACATTCAAAGTCGTTTTTGCCAAGCATATCATAAAATTTTGATCCATATAGATATATCGCACATAGTATGCATAGCAAGACTTAGTGGCAGCATGGTATACCTCAATCTTTGATTCTTAGATAATTCTCAATAATATGTTAACCATCGAACTACCAACCACCTGTCATAAATTAAATAAAGAAACTGAAAATTTGAACAAATGTACAACTATATAATTAATGAAAACATGATAAATAATCTGAATTTTATTATTAGTAAATCACAATTAGATACCTAGATCTGCGACTAGCTCATTTGAGCTTGATTGTAAGACACCATGCAAAAAAAGAATTAAAAAAAAAAACTGTTACAGGCGATGTAGAGATATATCCCTCCCTATGCCAATTCAACACCATATGCAATAGGCTCCGTAACGAGTAAGATAACAGTTTCGAATTCTAAAATAAAAATACATAGCTTCTAGGAGCCCATGTCTGCAACTATTAATAAACTATTCAATCACTTATATATTAGATTTTCAAAAAGTAAAATTTATAAGAAATTATAAATGTTAATCAAATTAGAGTATATGATTAGTGCATATGTCAAAAGTGTTGCAATTTTGATGAAACAGAGGAAGTAGGATATTTAACGAGAAAAACTCAACTTGAAAAATGCAAATCCATCGGAAATATATTACCCACTATATACACAACCAATACATCAGCACTGCAACAAGAGATAGTAGATGACATAGTCTTCAAAAGGTTACCATGCTTAAAACTTCTGAACTAAATGCTTGTAAGTGCTCCTTAGTTTGGAAGTGCCCATCAGCGGCTCTTATAAATCAATTCAAAATTTAAAGTGATTTAGAAATGGGCTTCCATATGAATTAAGTTGTTAAAACTAGGATTCCTTTGGACTTGACCAAGTAAACACCTATTAAGTAATTCGTGCCACTTACACGCTCACGAACCTAACTTAATCAAGCTACTTGTGAATATCTACTTACTAATTGTATAGCATTCATCCAAAAACACAAAACACATACTTTGGCCATAAAAACACAAATAATGCAAACCAAAGTCTAAACACCAGAAAACATTACATACTACCATCCTTTCATAAAATTCTTTACATTTCTTTATACATAGTCTCAAATACACATCTTTTAATTGTTAATATCTTCAAATTTGAAGTATGAAAAATCGATGTTATGAGTTTTAATTTTGAAACAAATCCAACAAGATCCTACATAATAACGTTTCCTCTTACATTTAAGTCATCTTTCTGATTTCATACTGACCGCAAGAATAGTAAATGTAAAAACATAATGAAATGAAATTAAGGAATAGCGTCTAGATTCTAAACCAATCATTAATGTTTATTTATGCAAATCAATGTTTAAAAAAGAAAGTAGGTACTCATCACCATATCACTGTATTTAAAAGTGACAAAAAGTAGCCAAAACAACATATTTACATCATATAAATGTCTAATATGAAAGACCTCTTCTTTTCCCATTGTTTCTCACAAAGGTTAATACTCCGTCTTTAAAGGTCTTATACGTTGGTCGTGAATATGCACATCCCAAACCAAAAATTAATCTTTATATGTTGTGTTGTTAATCTCTTTTGTTCAAGTGGAATATACAAGTTAGTCTCTACAATGGTGAGAGATAATTACATTTCGGTAGAAAACTATCTCTCTACATGTGAGAGTATTTTGTGTTGCAGGGTTGAAGATTTGGAATATCAAGACAAAGTTTGTGTTCATATTCCCAATACCAAATGTAAGGACCCATGAGACTTATGATGTTTAAACATCAATTATGTATATGGTTTGTTGTTAGTGGATAAGAAAAAGATAATTATGTTGATGTTACAAATTTATTAATATGTAGAGATGATTGTTGTTGCACATGTCTCATGGCTTATTGTTAATGATATTTTTCATATTTTTAAAATTAAACAATATTTAAAAAGAAATTCCTTCCACCGGCCTAAAACAATATCAACTATCTAAAAAGCTACCTATATTGTAAATGTTAAGTTTTATTACCTGCTACAAGAATAATCTTTAATAGAAATTTATAAAACCCAACGTAGCACACAAAGATGAAAATCAATAAATACTTCCATAACATAATTTATCAAGTAAAATTTTAGTACACTATAGATAAAAGTGTAGTGGCTTTGAAAACCAAAGAACTACAAGCCCCGTACCACCATTGTAAACTTCAAAATTTGACCATTGCATGAACATAGATGATAGAGATGTAATTACTTTGGAGATTATCAAAACGTTCAATAAAAGAATTTGATAGGACACATAATGAACTATTATAAAGAAGAAAAAATAATTTTAAGGGAAAATGAAAAAGAATAGTATACCAAATGAAAACAACCAATGTCGAGATATGAGGTGTGGTGAAGCATAGAGGATTTCCACATTATAATTGGATTGAATTATGTCATTCTATTCTAAGTCCTTTCCTCTTTGTACAAGTTTAGGAGTTCTCGAGGTTCTTTGATTATGTAATTTGGTACTTCCTCCATTACTATTATTTTTTCATATTGTATCATGTAAGAGATTTTTAATTTATGTTTTAATTTCTCATAAAGTAACCTCAAAATTGTACTTTATATTTGGTTGAGGGAAAAAAAATAAAAATATATCAATGGTAACACTCATTTGTTGGTTAATATCATTCTTAAGGTTTAACACCTAAATGTATCATTAATTGCCCACCACAATTAGCATTTATATGGTTAAAGCCTCTCCTTCACTGTTTTCCTTCTCTCTCCTCATCCCACTTCCATTTCTAACTACATCTCTTTGACACATAACACGTCGACATCTTCCATCCCCAAACTCAACCATTTACGGTCATTCACCCATTTCTAATAGTTTCCCACATGTTCTCTCCTGTCTTCATCCTCCATCTCTAACTTCCCACCCCGAACCCCATTTAAATTCACCCTAACACCTCATCATCTCCTTCATAGGGTTTAATTATGCACAATTTGTCATTTGCACCTAACACGCACAGTTTTGATGTTGCCAAGGATGCTTCTTAATTATTGCCTTTAGTTCAAAGAATTGCTATCAACGTGCTCTTATCCTTGTCGTTGTTCTTGTGAATGTAGTGTCACTTAAAAAATAAAAATAAAAAAACATCTTTTTAAAAGATAATGATTTTTATGAGATTTTGATTGTTTATACGCTTTAATTTTTTTTACTTTCTTATTTAATTTGATAGTTTGTAAGCAAGAACTCTAGGTCAACGTTACAAGGTTTGCTGGTGGTCGCGAACCAGAACGCTGAAGGTGGCGACTCCTAGTTGTGGCTGAGCAAACACGGTTGTTCTTCCTCTGCAACCTTTAATGGCTTGTTTCCCGACATTTTTGCAGTTATCTCTCTTTCTTCTTTCACATGTATTCACTTATATAATTTCTGAAGTTTTTGACTTTTTTCTCTCTCCTCTCTTAACAGTTTTTTTTTTTTTTTTTTTTTTGCACACTAAGGGTGGCGGCTAGGGTTTGGTTTTAATTGGTAAAAAGCTTAAAGGACTTAAACCTATATCTGTCTATCAACAACTTGGGCTTTTTTTAAATAAACAACTTCGGCTTTTAATTTTATTCACTTTTTTTTTAGCAATCCACTCACCTAGATATAAAAATCTATCAATAAAAATCACCTATATAATTTTTTTATTAATTTTCATATTTCGTACCCAATTTTACCGGATTCACCACGGGTAGCGTTTTGCGTATTCGTTTCCGTACCACGTTTCGAATTGAATACCGTCCCATGTAACGTTGTTCTAGGTTAATAATGGTTATTCTAGTGGTAGTATTCTTTTTTTTTTTGGGGGGGGGGGGATATTTATGCATACCTACCAAGGTGATGGCTATAAAAAGAAAAGGTGACGAGGCAATCAATCACTGATTTGCAAGGCAGAAGAGGAAAAGAAACGAAATGGAATAAAAAGACAAATGAGAGAGGAAAGAGATAGAGGGAGCGTATGAAGCAATAAAAGATGATGGTAAAATAGTGTCCAATTTTTATTGCAGGATACATAGATAAATGGAAGGAGGGAGATAAGGAGGTGTCATGAGGAACTTCAAGTAATTTTGTGATTGTGCTATTAAGTATCATGAGAAAATAAAAATACCAATTTTGTTTCTTACTATTTGTAGCGAATGGTTATAATTTACGAGAAATAAAAATTTCTTTGGACAAAAAATAAGAAACGGAGGTAGTATTTTAAGGTTTTATACGTCCATAATGTCATGAGTGGTATGAATCAAGAATAAAAGGATTTATACCTCCATAATGTCATGAGGTACTCCCTCCGTCCCTCAATTCATGCCCGTTTGAGTTTTTTCACGGGAATTAAACAGAGGCGCAAGGCGAGGCGCTTTGGTTTAGGCGCACCCGAGGCGTACATGAGGCAAACTTCCGCCTAAATTTTTAAATTGCCCATATAGAGCGCCTCAATTTGAAGAGAAGCCAGAACCCCTCTCGCCTCGGTGCATGTGGGGTTGAGGAGAGACATAAAGAGAAAGAGAAAACCCAACAACCTTCCTACCCGACCCTCGCTTCCCCTCCCTCGACCCTCACGCCTATCCCCTCCCCCGCAAAAACATTCCCCTGGCCGTCATCGCCCCTCCTTCGCCACTCGACGACCTTGAAAATCTTCCTAGACCCCTCGTCGAAACTCACTGCCCATGTTCGCACCTCCCTCAACCCTCGTCGGAGAGTCGTCAGAACTTGCTGCCCATGTTAGCACCTCCATCAACCCTCATCGAAGGTTGTCGCACATCCCCCATCGCTGCCCCTGTTTCAATTAATTGAAGTTCAATTTCAATTCAGGGAAGTTTTTCGGGGATGAGGGAGGTTTTGCGAAGAGCGGGGAGAGCTGTGCGAGGAACAGAAGGGAGGCGAATGGTAAGGGAGGTGCGACAAGTGTGGCTGTTAAAAGTTATAGAGTGAAGGTTTCATGGGGTGGTGGTGGGACTAGTGGGTCTCATTCTCTTTGTTTTTAAAACAAACATAGAAAATTTTAGGTATTTTCATTCCATTCCTTGTCTTTCCTTTTATTTATTCCATTTCGATTACCCCGTGCAAACCAAACGGCCACTAAATAAATTGTATGAGGGTAATATTTAAAAAGTACATGCTATAAATGCAAATATTCTAAAACAGGCAAGCATTTTAAGCACCCCTAAAAGGAATACAAACACGTAATTAAGGGCCGGAGTGATTAGTATTTTAAGGGACTATTATGGAGTAGTATTTTAAGGGACTTTTTTTAAGTGACTTACCTTCATAATGTCATGAGATAGGGTTTTAAGGTTTAAAAGTTTTATACCTCCAAAATAGTCTTGTGCTTGTGTAGTACGAGAACTCCTTGTAAACTAAAAAAACAAAAGACGATGCGAATTCAAAAATTATATCGAATCAACTAGCCTTATCCTTTAAGACAAAAGCATTATTTTGCCAAATTGTCACTTTCAATGTTTCTCACTACTCCCTTTCAAATTAACAAAACCACACCTTGCATCCTCATGGTAAGGTCATATTAAGAAAATCTTATTTAGGGAAGCAAAACTATTAATCCATCATTATAGCAGTTCTCCAATAATAATCCAACCTTTTAGTCTATTTTAATAATCCAAACTTTAAGGGTAATTCACTTTAATTGATTCCATATGATTGGTAACCAAAAAAATATAGGTAATTTTGGTTTAAATCTTTTCACTTTATAGATTTGACACCAATAGCCATGATTATTCAACGTCACCATCCATTAATTCCTTCCCCTTATAAATAAAAAAAAAAATGTCAACCTCTAGCCATCACACCCATGCGAAAGCCACCACCCATTACTCCATTAATGGAAAATCGCCTAGGTTAATCCTAACACAAAAACATCAAAATTAGTAAAATTTATTGTAATAACAAGTCATATTGTAATAACAAGTCATATCTCCAACCTTCTATACAAAATTTATTGTAATAACAAGTCATATTGACCTCGTATTAATTCTATTAAGGATGCAGTTGGACCAGGTACGAAAATGTGATTTCGGTAACAATCTCGGAAATGGTTACAACGATTCAATAGCAAAATTGATGCATTGATCATGGATCGTGACATAGTTTGTCGCACATGAATTTAAATTATATTTAAGTTTTTAAACTCTATATTTTATGATATATTTTCTCATTAATTTTAGAATCTATAGTATATTATGTATTCCTATACCCCTTCTTTACATTTTAAAAATAAAAACCTTTTATTGTGTGTGGGCCCGGGTAGCAACTTGAGAAGGGAAAGAACACACGACGAGGATTAAGGCCTTGGGGTCACTTGGGATGTCAAAAAAGAAAAAAGCAAAGGGAAAGTAAAATTTTCAAATGAGAATAAAAAGAAATGTATGATAACCAATTCGAGCTTGTGTTTTTTCTTAGGATACTTGCCGGAAAAGTTTGATTCAGCCATGTTTTATTTCAAAACGGTAGTAACAACCAAATCATAGGGTATTGTAATGCAGCATGTTATAACCTGGAAATATTAGAATGACGACTTGGAAAGCTGCTACGTCCCAGCATATTTGAGACGAAAACGATCTAGTTTTCGAACAATGGGTTGGGAATAGTTATCTGGAGGAAGAACAAATTACGAAGAATTTTGTCAATTTTTTTCGAGGATCTTTTAGCCACGAGTAGACAAAATGATCCGGAGCAGAGAAAGATAACTACGGCAATATCAATTGAGCAAGTTAATAATATGCTTGGTTCTATCAATGGAGATGCGGTAAAAAATAAATAAATAAATAAAATAAAAAAGCGTTGTTCCAAATTCACTCAATGGCTACAAACGTTGTGTAACATTTTTTCCAAAAATTTTGAGGAGTTATAGCTAAAGATGTGATGGACAAAGTTATAAACATCTTAGATAATGAGGATGATAAAGGCCATTTTAATTAAAGTCATATGAATTAAATTCCAAAAAAGAAATTACGTGTCTCTTATTGAATAAAAACCATCTAGCCTAGGGGATGTTTTGTATCAAATTGTGTAGAAAAGTCTTAGCAACCAAGTTAAAGAAAATATTCCCTACTAGTATTATCGGGTAGACAAATAACTAGATAACCGATAATATTCTAGTTAGCTTATAAGGTTTATCATCATATGAGAATAAAGGAAAAAGGGAAGAAATGCTTAATGCTTGACGTGAGTAAAGCTTACGATAATGTGTAATAGGAATTTTTTTTAACAAATGAGGTGTGCTAGCTCTATTTCTTTTAACGTGTTAGGTGAATGGGCAAGCCTCCGAAACTAACCAAGTAGACGATTAGGGAATCCTTTGTCTCCTTTTCTATTCATCATATGTTGTGTTACTCGGACATGGCATTTTTGCCGTCATACCCGACACGGATCCGGGTATGAAATCCATTCCGAATACATCACTTTGCTCTCGGGTACGGCAAGGTTGTCATGAAAAGATTTTTCATGGCAAGGAGACCTTGATAGCACTGGTTGAAGCTGGTGGAGGAAGATGAAGGATTTGTTTTTTTTTCTTTTATCTTTATTTAATAAGTTTTGTGGTTTCCTAAGAGTACTGTACATTTAATTTTTTAAATGGTTTGTGGTTTCCCAAGGTAAACTTTTTTGTACTATATAGCACAAAGATGGTAAAAAGGCTTTTTTCTAAAGGATATAAAAGCTTTGTGTACTCATATGTTTTTGTTTTACTCCGTAATTGTTATTTTGGTTTGGCTTCCTAAACAAGCTTCCCCAACATTTTGAACTTAGTTAAATGATACGGAGTATGTATCAGTTTATGTAATCAATTTTAATGAAAATATTTAATTTTGTTGTACTAATTATCCGTTATTATTTCTCTTAAAAAATTCATTGTCGTATCCGTACTCGAGTCCAAGTGTCTCCGTGTCCTAAATTTTTGAAAATGATGATCGGACACTCGGATCCGTACCAATATCGGATACCCATACTCGAGTCAATGTAACATAGATCATATGTGAGCATCATATGTAACATAGATCATATGTGTGCTAAAAGGAGAAAAATCGTTCATGGGGTTAAAAATTAGGACTATTTATCTATTTTTTGTGGATGACAGTCTTCTATTTGTACGTGCTAGTAAGGAGGAAACTAAGAGTATTTTCAATATTCTTTTAACAAGTTATGGGAAGGATTTTCCGGCTTAATTAATGAGTTGTGGGAAGGAAGGAGGTGAAAGTGTAGTACCTTAATGGAGTTGTTAAAGCTTCCCAGAGGATGAAAATTACATTGTCTAAGAATGCTAATAATATGCTTCTATCAATGACTGTTTATGCAAAGAT